TAAGATAACAGCTAAGAATCTCAATGAGAAGGATCCAACAAGGAATTTAGTGTTGAACAATGGATTAAAGTCTAGCGAACTGGATGATAATTGGACGCGAAGGAACATCTTTGGGATGAACAACAGCAATCAATGGAAACATGTTAGGTTAGTCAACAATAACACACTTTGAATATTCTAGTGGTCATATAAAAAAGAGCTTTGAGGGGACTCATTCTGAAAAATTCTGAAAACCTTGTGCATGTTTTTTTTATGCCTGTGAAGTTTGGGGTCCTAGTCTTTTAGGTAAAGTGAAATGTCTAGACGTTTTTTAAGCAGAAAATGTTTATTTTTACCTCAGACATAGAAAAACTTCACTTGGGATTTTGTAAACAGATATTGGGTGTTCATACTAAGGCAGTAAATATATCAATTTATGCTGAATTGGGAAGAACCCCATTAATGTTGCAAATCTCTAGTTTACCGGTAGTAATAAAATACTGGTTAAGAATTAAAGATACTGAGTATAGTGAATCTTTGGTTGGCAAAGCTGCAAAGTTTTGTTTAGAAAAGAAAACATAAGAGGTAGCTTTTATTGAATATGCCCTGGAAATAATCTGGAAGTAATCTTACATGCCTTGAAAGTAATAGACTCACACAGGGCTCGAAAAATAACGGCCAGTCAAAGGACAATGTCCTTCAAAATTCACTAGATGACCAGCCAAATCGGGTTTTGAAAGGCCATTTTTAGCTGTCACATTTTTAGACAAATCAATTCTCAATTCCCTAAATAAAGTTTTACAAATTTATTAATGAAATTTTTACAAATTTATTAATGAATTTGGAAGGAGATCTTGTCCTGCATATGTCTGGACGTTATTTCGAGCCCTGCTCACATAGCAAAGAGGTTATAAATATTGATGCTTTGACTATTGTAACTTGTATTTTAGCCTGTTAAACTCCTTCATAATGGAGCCACCCCAGCATGTATCTTCCAGTGTGTGGGCTATGAAATTATTGGAGTCAGAAACAACTCCTACAATGAACCCACAGCTGCTTCTCAAAGCGAGGCTCTTTAGACGTTGGCATCAAAGAGCGCGTTTACAGAGACTTGATAGAATTGAATATGAAAATAAGATGAACAAGTAAGCTGCTAAATGAACAATATATTAT